GGGGGCTGGGCAATGTCCTTTGACAGGGCGACGTGGTAGGTTTGGAGCGGGCTGGGGGGAAGACCGAGGTGATGGTGACCGAGGGCGTGACCACAGTGGCCTACACATTGGATGAGGGCCTGATTGAGTTTGGAACAGCCATCGATGACGGCAACTACACCAGGTGAGGAGGGGCGAGCACCGGGGGGTGCGGGGAGAGGCTGGCTGTGAGAGAAGGCCGTGGGATGGGTGGGAACAGGGTCCCAAGGGAGAGGCTAGGCCCCCTGCTCTGCTCATTCCTCTGCTTCCTTCCCGGTCCAGGGCAACAGCCTTCCTGGAGACACTGGAAATGACGCCCGAGACAGAGGCCATGTGGAAGACCTTGAGCAAGCTGGCGCTCGAGGCTAAGCAGCTCCACATCGCTGAGAGGTGAGGGCCAGGCGCCAGGCTCCCCGACTCAGAGCCACCCCAGAGGGCGCAGTGGGACTGCCCCGCGAGTTTCTGAGACTGTTAGCGCTTTTCGGGAGTAGAAAGCTCTGCCGTCTCTTTCTCCCAAGAAGCGGCTGTCCTGGCAGCTCACAGCTGGACATGTGACCACTACCCCACCAGGGCTCCTTGGAGAGGCGAGGTGGCCATGTGGAAGTGAGAGGCCAGACAGCTGGGAAGGTGGGCTCGTGGGCATCTCACCCGTGGGCTGCGCCCAGCCAGTGTGAGGCACCGCTTCCTTCCCCACTACCTACAAGTGCCCATGGACCTCCCATGGCGCGCCCATCCTCCTAAATTGTTAAAAACAAGTACCTTGTACTATTTTTACTGCCCTTTCTTGACCATGCACATCAATCCATGCATCTGTGTGTATACCCCGAGTTATGTTTTAATAACTGATAGGTCAAACTTGAGACTCCACACTCCTTGAGTTTATATCCGGGCCACCACTAACCAAATTGAGTAACCCTTGAGAGGTCACCCAACCTTCCTGAATGTGCTGCGTGTCAGCGGGAGTGATGGGGTGCTTCCTCATAGAGTGAGGGAGAAGGGCGAGAACCTGTGCGCAGAGCTGACGAGATGGTCAGTGCTCGATGGCAACTGCTGCTATTTGGCAAGGCCTCATCCTGAGCTCCCTGTTCCCACACCCCACATCTGGTCTGCTAGCAAGCCCGAGGACTTTGTCTTCGAAGCATATCCTGAATCAGTACCTTTGGTCCACCGCCACTGTCCAGTGGAGGACAGACCACCGCCACGTCCCCCTGATGCTGCCGCAGTAACCTCTTCATGGATCTCACAGGGGCTGCTGTTGCTTCCCTACAAGCCAGTCGTCCCACGGCAGCCAGACTGTATCACTTCCTTGCCTAGACCTTCCAGTCGCCGACCATTGTGCTCAGATTGAAGGCCAGACTACTCGGCATAGCCAAAGGCCCTGCAATATTTGGTCTCTGCTTCCTTTTGAGACCAGTCACCTACTACTCGGCCATTAGTCTCTGGTCACACTGGCATCCTATCGGTCCTTTGTGCCAAGCTGGCTCCCGACATCGGACAATGTCACTAGCTGGTTCTTTGGCCTGGAAGGCATGTACCCATCTGGACAAGACGGGCTCTTCCTTGTTTTCAGGCTTCAGCTCAGAGGTCAGTGCCTCAGAGGCTCTTCCTGACCGCCACTCGTCTCCTAGGACATTAGTCAGCAAGAACAGCACAGGGTTTGTTCTGGCTCCTTCTCGTAGATTCTCTTCGTTTACCATTTGCCTCCTTCCACTAGCCTGTAAGTCCCAGGAACACCAGGCTTGCGTCTCGCTTGGCCCCTGTTATGTCGAGAGGAGTGTCTGGAGGAGTGGTCCCAGGCCTTGCACTCCCCTGTTTATGAACTTGTGCAACAATCCAAGACGTCTTTGTTGCCAGGCAATTCAAAAGTTCACCGTAAACAATTATAAGTCGCCTCCAGTGGGCCATGTTTTCAGAGACAAGGTGATTCTCCCTGTCTACATATAGAACAGCTACTCAGAGTCCACTCCTTTGTATTGCAACGTAAGGAAGAACCTTGCGGCTGTCCAATGTGCATTTGCTGAACCAGTGAATAACGATGCTCTAGTAATACTGCTAATACGATCACGTCCACACCACCTAGGTGCTTTTCTGCTTTGGGCCACGTCGCAAAAGCTCGATTCCTGCACGAGACCAATGAGATTGCAGATCAAGTGTCTCGGGAATATGCAAGTATTATCCTCTGGATTTTTTCCGTTTCGAGGCTGAGAGTTCTTGCCGCGCTCAGCCCCGTGGTGCCTACCTCTGCAGTCATCCACGCTTCCCTGCCCACCCCCACCCCGCCCTCACGTGGAACCATTTTGAAGTTCTTACTAAACCTCAAGCCGTGTGATTTTTTTTTTTTTCAGCTTCCCAGCTCCCCTGGTCCTTGGGTTTTCCCTTCTCTGTAGACCTTCCTGTCTTTTAGCCCCAACAGACAGGCTCGCTAGAACGCCCATGTTCTCACAGGGTGGAGAAGGAACCGACTTCTATCAGGTCCGAGCACGGCTAGCCATGCTGGAGAAGAACTACAAACTGGCTGAAATGATCTTCTTGGAGCAGGTGATGGGAGAAGAGGGCAGGGTGGAAAAGGGGATCTGATGAGGAAAACAGGGAGGCAAACTCCCATGGAAGCAACTGCCCATCTATTCTTCCAGAGGTTTGGAAAGACCTTTAAAGGAGTTCCTATTGTTTCATTGGCTGTGGGTCTTTTGAGTGATCTCTTCCTCTACTGCAGAGCTTGGCTTTGTAATTCTTTATTCTATTTTATTTTTTTCTTTGTCAATTTTTTAAGGTGGGCATTTCAGCTCTGTGTAACTCCCTAACTCGAGCTAATGGGTGCTGAATGAGTTTGTCTTTTTAAAAATTTTAATAAACAGTTTTACTTGGGGCATAATCTAAATGTCATGCACTTCAATAGCTCAATCAGACCGAGAAGAGTTGTATAGTCACTAGGCTTGCAATGCTTGTGCACTAGGGTGGGGGTCCAGAGAGCACTGGTTGTGCAGTGGGTAAACACTTGGTTGCTAACCACAAGGTTGGCAGTTCAAAGCCACCAGCTGTTCCACAGGAGAGCAGATTTATGTACAGATTTAAGTCCTTGGAAATCCTACGGGGCAGTTCTCCGTTCTGCAGGATCACAATGAGTTGGAATTGACGTGATGGCCATGGGTTTGGTGGCTGTCCTGACTCTCTAGTGCTGCTACAACAGAGGGTCACCAGTGGACAGCTTTAACAAACAAACATGCATTCTCTCACAGCTGAGGAGCCTAGAAGTGGGAATTCAGGGCACCAGCTCTAGTGGAAGGCTTTCCCTCTGTTTCGGCTCTGGGAGAAAGTCTTTGCCTCCTTTTTAACATTCACTGGCCTGGCGTGCCTTGGGGGTCTCCATATGCTGGGCAGCAGCCTTCCTCTCAGTGCAGGTGGTTTTCAGCCCAGTGACCTTGGCTTCATTCCTGGCTCATCTTTCTTTATCAGAAAGAGATTCCTCATCTCGCTCTACCTTTATCTCTTGCTAAGGTGGGACTCAAACAAAGGTGTCAGTTGCATAAGGATGTGACTCACGATAGACACCCCACCCCCAGTAATCCTACCTCATTACCATATAGGAGTTAGGGTGTGCAACACATGACAAAATGAAGGATAATTCTATCAGATCATGAAATGGACAGCCACACAATACTAGGGATCATACTCTAGTAAGTTCATGTAGATTTGGGAGACTCAATTTGCTTCATGACAAGAGTGAACTCAGGCTTTGGGGAGGCCAAAAGCTTATACGAAATGGAGAATGCTCCTTAAGAAAAATTACCTTGGGTACCCATGGTCTCCCCATGAGCAAATACGGGGCCCTGGGGCTTCAGCTTCTTGAGTGTCTCAGTAAATCGGTCACTGCTTGTATAGTGAAGGGTGAGGCTTTTCAGGACTCGTGGGCTGTCCTATTTGCTGGGCTGACAAGGGCTAGCTGAACTCTGGTCCTCACCTCTCCCTCTGCCGGTGTCCCCCTAGAATGCTGTCGAGGAGGCCATGGACATGTACCAGGAGCTGCACCGTTGGGATGAGTGTATTGCTGTGGCTGAGGCCAAGGTACCCCTTCTGCCTTCTTCACAGTTCTGAGCTTAGTTCTGTCCACTTTAGCGACCCCTCCTTGTTCAGGGGGCCCTCAGCCCTAGCATAGTGGTAGCTGGGAGGGTTTCCGCGAGTCCAGGGACATTGGAGAAGCACTTCTCCTCTGTGACCCGTGCAGGGTCACCCAGCCATGGAGAAGCTGCGCCGGAGTTACTACCAGTGGCTGATGGACACCCAGCAGGAGGAGCGAGCCGGTGAGCTGCAGGAGAGCCAAGGGGATGGGCTCGCAGCCATCAGCCTCTACCTCAAAGCTGGCCTCCCAGCCAAAGCTGCTCGGCTGGTGCTGACCCGAGAGGAACTGCTAGCCAACACAGAGCTGGTGGAGCACATCACCACCGCCCTCATCAAGGGGGAGCTCTACGAAAGGGTACGGCCGAGTTTCTCCCTTTATTCCCGGGCTCAGGACCCCTCTTCTACCCAGAGGAGTCTTGGAGCACACAGGCCTCCCCGACAGGTGGCGTTCCCTGCTTGTGAAGCTGACACTTGATTTCCTGTACCGTCGGGGGTGTCACTGTGGTAATGAGCGTGTGTTCACAGGCCGGTGACCTCTTTGAGAAGATTCGAAATCCCCAGAGGGCCCTTGAGTGCTACTGTAAAGGCAACGCTTTCATGAAAGGTACTAGCCGCCCTCACGCCAGCCTTCACTGCTGTAGACTCTTGCCAAGCCGCCCCGGGCCCCCCTCAGTGGGCACAGCTGTGGACATTTCCTGGTTTGGTCCTCTTTCACCCTCCACCTCCTGCCCATTCCCCATGTTTCCTTCCCTGTTCCTGCCTTGCCCAGCCCTGTCCCTGGGAGTCTGGCTGAGCACCCACCTTCTGTCTGGCAGCTGTGGAACTGGCTCGGTTGGCATTCCCAGTGGAGGTGGTGAAACTGGAGGAGGCCTGGGGGGACCACCTGGTGCAGCAGAAGCAGCTCGATGCAGCCATCAATCACTTCATCGAAGCCCGGTATGGCGCCGTGTGGGGGGTGGTAATGCAGAGGAGATCTGAGCCAAAGCGAGGGGAGGTGGGCAAGTCAGGGCACCAAGGCCTGAAAGAAGAGACATCTGAAACTGTAAGTGGAAGTGTGTTTAAGGGGGTCCCTTGTCTTCCCCAACTGTGCCAGGTGCTCCGTTAAGGCGATTGAGGCCGCCTTGGGTGCCCGCCAGTGGAAGAAGGCGATTTATATCTTAGACCTGCAGGACCGGAACATTGCGTCCAAATACTACCCTCGTGTGGCCCAGCACTATGCGTCTCTACAGGAGTACGAGGTGAGGAGGACTCTCGATGGGGCCCTGCGCACCAGACCTTCCTTCTTGGGACTCACAGTGACCCCCACCCCAAACGGGAAGGAAGGCTCACCTGCCCAGGCCCCTCCCAACGTGACCCAGACCCTCCCACCCAGAGAGCTCTCTGGGTCCGCAGGAGCAGCTCATCATTAATGACTGCAATATAGATCCCAGACGACCAACACCCAAAACCCACCGCCACTGAGCAGATTCCGAACTGTAGGTCCCGGTGGGTTCCGAGGCGGTGACTCTGTATGGGAGCAGAGAGGGCCATCTTTCCCCCACGGAATGCTGGTAGTTTCAAACTGCCGAGCTGGCACTTGGCAACCCAACCCAAAACCCTCAAAACGTTCATGGAAAACAGAATGAAAAGATAATGAAGTTCTTCCTCAACTTGTTTGCAACCCCCTCCTAGGGGACTGCCTTGCCTTGCAGAAATGTGAGGCCCCTTTAAACACCCGATTGTTAGATGGTTTGGAGCTGGTCATTCTTTCTTTCTTCTTCTTCAGTTATAACAGATAGGAGACACCCAGAGTCATCCTTTCTTCTCTATGATTGTAAAGTAATAGTATCCCAGACCTTGCACCCCTCGGTATGGTTTGTGCCACCTACCCCAAGCGGCATTCTCTCTGTTGCTCTGACTTCTGCCTCTCCTTCTCCTCCCCGACAGATAGCTGAGGAACTCTACACCAAGGGAGAGCGGACAAAAGATGCCATCGACATGTACACCCAGGCCGGCCGCTGGGAGCAAGCCCACAAGGTAGGGAATGGGATAGAATGAATGGCCAGCAAGCTCCTCGTCGTGCGCCATGCTGCTCCACCTCACTGGGTTCCCTACGGGCTGAGAAAGAGGACCAAAATACATCTAACTTTGACCCTTTGCCATGGAGAAAGGGCAAGGTGGAGGGGGGCCCTTGTTTCCCAGCCCGTAATTCTGAAGAAAGCAGCTGTGCTTGAGGGCCGGGAGCTCTGGAGGGCCACCCCTGAGCCTCTAGGCACACCATGCCCAAAGGCCCCAGAAGATACAGCAGTGGGCTCATCCTCACCAGCACCAGGCATCGCTCGCCGACCCTCCTGGCTCAGCAGCCTCGCACGCTTAGCCTGCTCCGCTCGGGCTTGCCATTCCCTGGAGCTGACCAGCAGCGTGGCCCGTTGGCAGCGTTGAGAATTCCTGGGCAGGCAGGTGCCTTAAAGCCCTGCTTCCCTGAGGGCTCTGCGTGCCCCTCTGCTTCCCTTGGGAATTGGCTCTGTGTGTCTGCACAGCTGGCGATGAAGTGCATGAGGCCTGAAGATGTGTCCGTGCTGTACATCACCCAGGCTCAGGAGCTGGAGAGGCAGGGCAAGTACCGCGAGGCGGAAAGGTGAGCCACGACCTCCGAGGCAGTGAGGACCAGCGAGGCCCCTGGGAGGCATCTGAGGGTCTGTGTCCTCTTCCCAGAGGGCAGTGACAGCATCTCTTAGGAATGGCGCTAGTACAGGCATCTGGTTATAGAACGCCCCTGGTGTATCGGCCATCCCTAGGCTCTACGTGACAGTGGAAGAAGCTGACCTTGCCATTACCATGTTCAAAAAGCACAAACTCTACGATGACATGATCCGCCTGGTGGGGAAGCACCACCCCGATCTACTCAGCGACACCCACCTACATCTGGGCAAGGTGGGCCTTCTCCTGTCGATGCCCACTTCTTCCCTCGTCGGCCTCCATCTTGCCATCCTGACCCCCTTTCCCTCAGGAGCTGGAGGCTGAAGGCCGGCTACAGGAGGCCGAGTATCACTACCTTGAGGCCCAGGAATGGAAGGCAACAGTGAACATGTATCGGTCCAATGGGCTGTGGGAAGAGGCCTACCGGGTAAGGAGGCCAGGCCACAGCGGGGGGACAGCCAGCTCTCTTTCACACTCTCCAGTGACACAGTCACTCTCATCCCAAGCTGATGATGACCTCTTTACAAAGGAAGATCCTCTTTTGTCAGAAAAAAAATCCACACTTATATGCAGGAAAGTTGGCATGTCATTCTATGGCTTTGTCAACTACCCGAAGCTCATTCTTGGGCCCTAAGCAGGCTAAGAGACCCTGAAATGGACCCCACTTACTGTTGTTTCAGAACAGGTCTTTGGTCCTTGTCACAGCTGAGTCAGAGGTCGTGGCGAGGTGCCCCTGCACCTGAGGACTACTGAGTGGCTGTGCTTTCCAGGTGGCCAAGACTTACGGAGGAGCAAATGCCCACAAGCACGTGGCTTATCTGTGGGCCAAGAGCCTGGGAGGAGAGGCTGCTGTGAGACTGCTGAACAAGCTGGGGCTCCTGGAAGCTGCTATTGACCACGCTGCAGACAACTGGTGAGGCCCCCAGCCTTCCCTCCTCTAGCCCCATCCGAGCTCAGAACTCCAAAACCCTCAGACTGCCATCGAGTTCATTCTGGCTCATGGTGACCCTACAGGACAGCGTAGAAGTGCCCCTGTAGGTTTCTGAGACTGTTACTCTTTAGGGAAGCAGGAAGCCTCCTCTTTCTTCCTTGGAGGGGCTGATGGATTCAAACCGCTGACCTTGTGGTTAACAGCCCAACTTGTAGCCTGCTATACCACCAGGGCCTCTTTTTTCACCCTGGCTAGACCCTATCTAGTGAAGAACAAGAAAGAAAACCCAAGCGCACTGCCGCCGAGTCAATTCTAACCCACAGCGAGTGAGCCTGTAGGACAGAGTAGGGCTGCCCCTGTGGGCTTCCGAGGCTGTGGCTCTTTAGGGAAGCGGACTGCCGCATTCTTCTCCTGCAGAGCAGCTGGTGGATTCGAACCACTAACCTTTCAGTTAGCAACCAGTTGCTTTAACCATTGTGCCACTAGGACCCCTAGAGACACACATACACCCCTATATGAAGAAGGGTCATTTGTGTACAATCGAGAACAATTTTCAGAACCCTGAGGCCTGTGTGGAGCTGTGGTAAGAAAGAGGTCCCTGGAAGGACAAGGTAGAGGGAAAACTCCGCGCGCGCGCGCAGCTCCTGGGGCTCCACTCAGTGTTGGAGCCTTAGCTCTCCTAGGAGAGTGGCAGAGGGGGCAACTTCTAATTACTCGGACTCCACTGGACCTAGTAATGGATTCTGGCTAAGGGAAGTGTGCAGTGATCCTGTTAAATTCAAAGTAACTTTTCTTTTCTCTTTCTTTCATGATTATGGGGGTTTAGGGGAAAAGACAAGGCTCTCTACTCCTGTGAAGAGTTACAGTCCCAGAAACCCACAGGGGCAGTTCTACCCTGTCCTACAGGGTCGCTCTGAGTCAGAATCGACTCCGTGGCAGTGCTTTTATTTTATTTTTTATTTTAAATGGGGTTCACTAAGGAAGTTGATGGATTACAAGTCAGTATCAGAAAGCATTGAGGATACAGTTCATTTGTCCAACGTGTCTCTTTTTAGCCATACCAGCAGGGACATTTCTCTTAGGTCCTTAGCCTTTTAGCCACACGGCCCCTCGGCCTTTGTCCAGCTAGAACAAGTGTTAAAAAGCTCCTGACTCACTGCCATCAAGTCGATGCTGACTCACAGTGACCCTGTAGGACAGGGTGGACCTGCCCATTGGGTTTCTGAGACTGAAACTTTAGATGGTGGTAGAAAGCCCTGTCTTTCTCCTGCAAGGCAGCTGATGTTCCCCCTGCAGTTAGCAGCCTGATGCATAACCACTGCACCAGCAGAAATGCCCCAAAGAGCATTCCACTTACCAAGCCAACCTTCTACCCAAAGGCCTCAGCTTTGCTCCCTCGGTGGGCTTGAAAGCCCACCACCTCTGTCTCATGTTCCTGCTGCCACTGCCACTTCTCTGTGCAGGCATCTCAGATAGGCTCTGCTTTCCTAGTGCCTTTCTGTGGTCACGATATTTTCTCTTCTTGGGTCCGAGATGCCTCATTTCACACCCACTGGAATGGCAAAACTGAAAAGTAACTTTCCTTAAGCAAGTGGTACAAATAGCAGTCAGTAGTAGCACTGCATTAAGTCTGATTGTTGAGGGCAGGCTTAATGGCCTTGGAGTGCTTTTCTGCTAATGTAAGTGGGGCTCAGGAGGTGGTGGTGGGAGCTCCAGGAAGCTCCTCTTGCTGTCCCCGTGGTGCTCTGAGGCACTCTGCACACTTCCCCTCCACCTGCTGCCTTCCGGGGACTCAGGCCTACGCTGGCCTTTCATGGTCCCTGGTGACCGTGGGCTTCCCAGGGCTACCGCCCTGTCTTGACTCTCCTTTTTTTTTTT